CTGAGACGTTCCCTTTCAAAGGAACTTCGAACTGCATCCTCTAGGGGTTGCTATGGGGAACGGTATACCCACGCCACCATGCTGAGGGGAGTGCATGCCAGTAAACCACAGCGAGCACTAAGTAACAACACTACCATAGCCATGGGAGTTGCCCCTGGGACGTTAGACGGCTGTCAGTGACATTATCCCCTATGGCCAAAGGCCTAGGCTACATAGCCCAAAAACTTACCTGTTAGGGCCAGAACTCAGGGTAGAGCTCAAGGCTTAGGTCTAGCCCTGTCACCCAGGGGGCTACCACTTGCTCTGCATATGCTGAAGGAACTGTCTCAACAGACCCCTAATAGCAACACCCTGTTAAAGTAGGTATTCTGAGGATACATAGGTAGAGTGGTGCCCAAGGTGGAACCGGGGCTTAACCAACTCAAGAAAGGGCATGAAGCCACCGTGCGTAGCCCTTACCATACAGGATTTTAGAAAAAACGCAAATGCTTAGCATGCGTACTTGCCACAGTGTGGATTTTAGAAAGTGCACAGGGACTTCGCGTACACACTTACCATAACATGGAATTTAAAGATACAGTTCTAAAGGGCCCTCATGGCACTCTGAAAGAGCAGCCCATAGATGGAAATGGTGCATCTCAAGAACAATATGTTTGAGAAGTCATCAACTCGATCTGTGGTATAATGCTGGAATGGCTAGCAGTAAGTTACCTAGCTGAGGGAGCATAACACCCAGCTCTCAGCCGAGAGGGGGCTCGACCTATAGCATGTACGTTAGAAATCAGAAGGGTAAGCGTACTGCAAGCTTAGCCAAAAACTCAGCGCATCAGGGAGGCAGAGGAAGGGCCTAGTTTGCCTGATGTTGCCGGTTCCAGGTGCTCTGGGAAAACAGAGAACTCAACTCTCCACGTGAGAGGAGAACTCCGAATTCAGAAAAGGGGGTAGCGTGCTCATAGGCAACCCTCTGATAGGGGAGCACTGTTAAACACCACCACGAGACACAGCCCATGGGGCGGGGAATTCAACTCCTCAGAAGGGGAGAGAACTCGAACACTCGGAAGAAAGCACCATGCTTACAAATAACCCTTAACAGTGAGGGATTTTCAAAAAAAGAATATTGCTTGATGTTCTGTTGCAGGTCTACGACTCCTCCCCCGAACTTTCCCTTTGCCTCAGATTTTAGGCATTTTTCTGCGATTTCCACAAAAATGTTGGTGAGTGAAAATCGGGGCTAAAATTGTGCAGTGTGAACCCAGCATTAAATAAAATTAACATTATAAAATAAAAAAGCAGTTTATAACCCCCTTTAACTGATGGTATTACAATACATTATACGTACTTTGTAAACAATACCTAAAACATTCACAATCATTTGTCTGTTGTCACAGAACTTACCTCAGTATCTCCAGTTTACACTTTAGAATCTTCAGTCCAGTGCAGAGCAGCTTCACTCCTGAATCCTGCAGATTATTATTGTTCATGTTCAGCTCTTTCAGATTAGTATCTGATCCAAGAACTGTAGCCAGAGCTGGACAGCTTCTGTCTGTTAAGTTACAATCATTTAACCTTGAAAAAAATGAATACAAAATAAGAATGAGTACAAACAATATATTTCCCAGTATTGTTTTTAGACCGTAAATACACTGGTGGGCTACACTGACATTTCTATTAAACTTAAAAGCTAAGATTTTGCTTTTGGTTTAAGGCTTTAATAAAATAGAATTTTTTGTCATATCACCCATCACTAAGTTAAATTAATGATTAAGAATCAACTATAGCGATATTTTGATGCTTTTTTTTTAGATAAGTGCAAAAACATGACTTTTAAATGACTTACAGAGCTCTTTTGCAGGTTTTGATGACTGCTGATAGTCTAACGAGACACTCGTCTGATTTCTTGAATTTCTGAAGCTCAAATGTCTCCATCTCCTCCTCTAATGTCAACAACACAAAGGCTAAAGCAGACCACTGGGCAGGTGAAAGGTCAACAGATGAGAGGCTTCCTTCTCTAAGGTGGGTCTGAATGTCTTTCACCAGAGTTTGGTCGTTCAGTTCATTCAGACAGTAGAACAGATTGATGGATCTCTCTGGAGACTGATTAGCTTCAAACTTCTGCTTGATGTACTGAACTATTTCCTTTTTGATCTGGTCATTGTCATCTTGCTGTGTCAACAGACCTGGTAAGAGTCGTTGATTGGACTGGAGTGACAGACCGAGAAGGAAGCGAAGGAAAAGATCTAGCTGTCCATTATCACTCTCAAGTGCCTTGTCCACTGCAGTCTTGAGCAAATCAATCATGGTTTCACTTTTGTTTTCCTGTTCTGTAGAGTCTTGAACAAACACACTTTTCTTGTTGATGTCTAGAAACAGATG